ATTTTAATTATTCTTCTAAAAATTCACACAAACCTAAAGGAATTAATGTGATACTTTACTTTTTTACGCAAAAATAACGTTGAAATTTTTGCTCCATAGCTAAAAAGAAAATACTCTTTTTTTGGTTGAAAAAAAATACTCTTTCTACGGCATGAAAATAAAGTACTCATTTTATTAAAATAAAAGAAAATACTTTTTCTATATCATGACAGAAAAATACTCATTTTGTTGAAATGATAATACCGTTTTTACGTCATAAAAAGAAAATACTCCTTTTGTTGAAATGAAAGAAAATACTTTTTACTTATCATTTTTTGTTGAAATGAAAGAAAATACTTTTTCTATATCATGAAAAGAAAGTAATATTTTTATTAAAATGAAAAAAAAAATATTATATCATGAAAAAAAAATACTCATTTGTTAAAATGAAAAAAAAATATCTATAACATAAAAAAGAAAGTACTATTAATAATATTTTTATTTAGGGTGGGGTGGAGTGGGGACGGTAGGTGGGGATGTGGGGGTGCATTGGTGGGGGTTGGTAGGGATGGGGAATAAGGTGTGGAAGGTTGAAAAAGAATTTTGAAAAATATTTTCTTTCTCTTGATAAGGAAAAATTTTTCCTCCAAATGAAGGAAAATGAGTTCATGAAAAAAATATTTAAACCAACCAAACATGAAAATTTTAAAAATTCTTAATGGTGCTTAATTATAGAAACATGAAAAATAGAGAAAATGTTTGATTGAATACTGAGTTATTCACTCGCGGGAACAGATCAATTTTCTTGAAGTTTAAGGGGAAAAAAGGACTTATAGTCAGAATAAATTATAGATATTTGTATGGTTTTATATTAATTCATCAAAAAACATTTTAAAAAATTAAAATTAAATTATTTTTAAAAAAAAAGGTATGCATAAATATTAAAATGCAATAACACTTCAAACAACCTACTTAAAAGTATAAAATTTCCTTTGATAAAGGTGATAAGATAGAGCAAGTGGATTAGGCTAAATTATTTTGACTCCCTTATCCAAGTCACTCTTTTTCTTTTTCTCCTTATCTAAGACATTAATAATTATCATCATAGGAAATGCCCATATTCCAAAAGACAGATAATCAAAAATTGAAGGCCAAGGAACGCAGGTGGATTTCACATGGGTCAATCTCTTATGTGGACTAAAATTAGCCATGTAAGCAAAAACACACAGAATCTAATTTCCTTGATCATTATAACACGTTGTTCCCTATGCTATTCGAAGCCACTTTTACATGCCGCAAACTAAAAGAATATTCTCCGAATAAGTTATCCTAGAATAAAATAATAAAATTATCAATCTCAAAATTAATACAATATATTATTTTATTCGTCTCATATTATTTGTCATAATTCTCTCGTACACATTCTTTAAAAAAAAATTAATTAGAATGTACTTTTTACTACTTTATCCATTCATATCTTAATATTTAATCTTTCTTTATTGATAATTGAACAAAGTTCGGTGTTTGTAGTATTCAAAGATAATTATTACTTCATCCATTTATTTTTACTTGTTAACTATTAACTTTGTACGCCCCTTAATAAATAAATAAAGTGTATAATTTATTATGATACCCATATTAATTGGTGTATAGCCTTAATGGATTTGGAAAATAATTTGGAATGAGTAATTAATGTTAATTGCAAAACAGAAAAAATAAATTATTTTTCTCTTGATATGCGAAAGTGGACAAGTAAAAGTGAAAATCTATTTTTAGAATAGTGGACAAATAAAAGTAAACGGAATAAGTACTAAGGGTAAAAAAGGAAAAATATAATTATTGTATCTTGAACTTCTAAAATGACAAATAATTTGAAATAATTATTTTTAGTAGCTATGACTGATAATATAAGACGGAAGAAGTAACAGACAATAACAAATATTATTAAGATAACTCATTTCAAGATTAGTTAATTAAAAGTTATGATATCGGGGTCGGAATAAAATTTCGAGAATTGAATTAGCTCCGTTATATTATTTGAAACTCAGCATGTAAAATTTGACGTTATTCCGTGTTGATTTGATAACTTTTTTGCCTCATGAGTTGGCCTAAGTTGTTTTGGTAAAGAATGAAGGTAAAACTAAAAATATTCCTAATACGTAATCATACAAAAAAACAAATCTTATGTGGGGCTTAAAAAGGAAGAAATGAATATTGTTATCATCATATCGTTTCTTCTCCCTTGTCTTTAGACAATTATTATTTTAATTTTACCATCATTCCTAACTCAAGCAATAGCAAATATTAGTGATTTGCATAAAGTACAATATTAATGACTCAAGCACAAGAGTTTAACATAAAATATTTGAACTTGTCTGTTGCCAACGAGTTGCACTAATATTCATTTGTATTAAATTATTATGAACATACCAATCTAACAATTTAACATTTAAAAAAAAGTTAACTTATATATATTGAGAGTATAAATAATTTCTAAATCATCAGCGCATTTTACTCTCTTTGTTCCAATTTAAGTAAAAGTATTTAGTTGAACACAAAATTTAAGAAAGAACCGAAAACTTTAAACTTTTAGTCTAAATTGAGATGTAAATATTTGTGTGACCGTAAATTATCTCATTAAAGATAAAGTGCGCATTTTAAAGTTAAATTTATACTACTAAATATAGAAAGATATCTTTTTTTTTGGTACTAATAAAAAAAAAATAATGTCATATAAATTGGGATGGAGAAAGTAGCTTACATTAGCAAATAACATTCCAGATTTTCCCAGTTATTATCCTACATTTATTATTGATGATTGCAATTTTTTAGATAGTCTGATGGGGCGGATGCACTCTTAGTGAAGCGGTGTCACGCTACACCGCTTCGTCAAATTTTTTTACTAAATATATGTATTAATATTGTGAGAAAACGAATAAATAGGAAAAAATGACACCACTTGACATAAATTGTCTTTTGGTGCGTTGGTTATGTGCTTGATTTTGCTTTAAAAGATCAGTTTGAAAGAGTCTGTATGATTAAAAAATGTGATGAAGTAGAATTGAACCCAGGACCTTTTCTAACTTGAAATTCAACAAAACCAATAGACTAGGAATATTTCTTGTCTAGAAGTATAATATTTGAAGTTATAATTCTTGTACTTCTATAAATTTTGACACCGCTTATAAAAATTCTTGCGTACGCCATTGTCTGATGGTGTAAAAAATTATATTGTTAATATATAATAATTAATAAAAAAATTTATATACACCGAATATTTATACCAAATTAACCAATACATAATACGTGTCTGTATCTATATTATATTAAAAACACAAAGCCCCTTAGCGAAATATTGTTCGCCTTTTTACCCTTTAAAAATGAATTTCACATTAGACAAATTGTCATTGTTATATCATTATTTTCTAATATTTAGGACTACTTATATTAACTAAAATTTTGACTATTAAATTTTTCCTTATTTGAACTATGTAAAAACTTCTAATATTTAGGAATTTAACTATTTCATAATGTTTAATATTAAAAAAAGGAACATTACATCGACATTCACGACATCTAAAAAATTAAAAGTGCTTGTTTTCATAAATAAATAAAAAATTGTTATTTCACAAAGAATGCAAATAATTCATATGTTTTTTATCTTTCTCGTAATAATTAGGAAAATTGAAATTGGATAACCAAACTGGGATGGAAAAGGTAATAAAGAGATGTTAATAATCAAAGCACCAAAGTTAGCCATTAAGCATCTCCTTATCGGTATATAATTGGATAAAATAATATTAAAAAATTTATTTGCACTTAAATTTTGAATTCTAACAAAACCACGATCTTCCAATTTATTAATTAGGATCTTAGAAGTAAACTATGTTTTTCTTTCTGTTTATTGAAGTGTCCTATAGCAATCTGAATATGATAATCTCAATATATTTCCTTTTTGAAAAATTGCCTATTATATTGGACATTAAAATCGAATTGTAAGAAAAAATATTTTTCTGTTACTTGTTTGTATTTATGTTAATTTTCGCTTGTATGTTTTCCACAGTCCTAAAGCATATTTTGTAGTCCCACTTTTTGTAACGAGGTTTCGTGTTGAAGGCATTTAATGAATGTGTTTTCTCCTAAATGTGCGTTTCTTTTACCTTATAAAAAGTGAAGTTGATTTATGTTTTTTAATTAAAAAATAGTACTAAGTACGCTCTCAAATATTAGTCATTTTGATAATCGAATCTACTTAAAATATTTAGTAAAAATTGACTTCTCTATCATCAGTACATTTTAACTTATACTAGTAGCAAATAACATATCGAATTTTCAGCTTATTATCCTACACTTATTATTGATGGTTGCTATCATTTAGATTGTCTAGTAATGTAAAAAAATTATACTATCAATACATAAGAATTAATAAAAAATTTACATGCACCGAGTGTTTACGTCAAATTAATAAATACATAATGCGTGTTTGCATATAAATTTTTTTCACTTAATTAATAGTTAATTAATATATATATTCTCACTTTATTAGAGCATGTAACCATAGTAAAATGATATAATTAGATATAAATATCTGATGCAGGTAATTCCACTATTCTAATTACTCCATCCGTTCATTACTTAGACTTTTTATGCTCCTTAAAAAATAATAATTATCGTATATATTTTACCATATAATCCGTATAATGATAGCATTTCAAAAAGTCTTAGGGAATAATTTTGAAAATGAGTAATTAATGATAAGGGTAAAATAAGAAAAAAAAATTGTCTTTCTCTTGATTTGCTAAAATAAATAAATAAAAATAAAAAAATATTTTTAATAAAAAATTGTTTAATTATTTTAAATTAAATGCAACATGGTATTTTAATATTTTCAGTAGGCAGCTAGGTAGCACCTTGCTAGAAGTGTAATAGCCATGGAAATATATACCAAAAATAAATGAGGGACCCATCCCCAAATAGGAGAGACACAATTCTTTCCAAATACTATAAGATTACCAATTGCAAACTTTTCATTCCCTATTTTCAGCTTTGTCCATCCAAATTCCAAAACTTTAAACCCCTCAAACATTATTAAAACCCAAATCACTCAACCCCCAATTCCTCCTATTTCTTGAAGTTCCTATATTTTTGAAGAGATCTACTTGAAAACCTAAATCACTCAACCCCAATTACTTCTATTTTTTGAAGCTCTAGTATTTTTGAAAAGATCTACCTCCATTTGTTTGGAACTGAATCGTAATTATTGTTGTCCTGTTTTCTAGAAGAAAAAATAGACATGAACAAGAAGAATTGTGAGTTGTGTGGTAAAAACAAGGCAAGAATGTATTGTGAATCAGATCAAGCAAGTCTTTGTTGGGATTGTGATACAAATGTTCACTGTGCTAATTTTCTTGTAGCTAAACATTCAAGAAATCTACTTTGTAATTCATGTCAATCACTTACTCCTTGGTCTGCTTCTGGTCCAAAACTTTCACCTACACTTTCCCTCTGCAATTCTTGTCTTGAAAATACCTCGGCGGCCGCCGTTCATTTGCAGAACCAAAATGAAGAAAGAGTTGAAGAAAATTATGAAACAGAAACTGATGAAGAAGAAGAATATGAAAGTGAGAGTGATTCTGATGATGAATATGATGATGATAATGAAGATGCTGGGAATCAAGTTGTTCCTTTGTCTTCTTCTCCGTCAATTTCTTCTTCTTCTACCGGCAGTTATGGAGATATATCTGCCGGAGACGGCGGTGACACGGCGGCTGTTTCTTCTCAGTGGAAAAAGCGATTAAGGGAAAGTGATTGTCTCCATTCTGAGGTAGGTCATCTACTCACTCAATTCAGAATTTACGATTTGACGTGTTTAACCTTTTAAGTTCTTATACTATGAGTATTGAATATAATATTTGTTAAAAAATTTAGTAAACTTTAACATATATTTAAATATCGTATCAACTATAATGAAGCTAAGGAGAGTTAAAAATTTAAAACATTAAATACACAGGGGATTCAATACATGATAAATTATGAGTTCAGAAAAGATTTTATGATTTTTCATGTATATAATCATGTTTTTATTAAAAAATATTGGGTTCAATTGAATATGTGGCTCAAAAGTTACATCTGCCGCTAATCGGCATCTACATATGTTTAATTGAACGTGGAATTATAAGTTCGGAAAAGATTTTGTGATTTTTCATATTTCGAAAAGAATATTAGGTTCAACTAAATCTATAGTTCAAAAAGCTACATTCGCCGTTGGTTGGCATGTACATACGTTCGATTGAGTGTGAATGTGCATTCGTAATTTATATGTTGTATCCGTCTCTTTATAATGCATTCGTAATTTATATGTTGGATTCGCCTCTTTATAATGCGTTCGTAATTTATATGTTGGATCCGCCTCTTTATAATGCATTCGTAATTTATATGTTAGATCCGTCTCTTTACAATTTCTCTATCCCGTTAGGACTAATATATGCTCTAATAATTATGCAGGATGAAGAGGCTTGCTCCTCAGATTTGAACTGCAACAATTTGTTGGAAGAGAATAAGGGGACATCTTCTTCAATAGGATTCTTAAGACCAATGAAATTGCTTAGGACAAATGAATTGTCTTAAGATTTCTACAAAATATGGATTCTCATTAGCAGGGTTGGATTGGAGTTAAGATTTTGAGTTTATGGTTTTAGATAAATTATTTAATACGTATTAAGTTCGATTTTTTGATACAAATATAGAATTTGAATTAATATTGTTGAACCCGTAAACAGAATCTTAGCTTGTCACTATCCGTTAGAAGTATGTAAACCAAATTAGTAGTCTTTTTATTTGCACTATCTTGTTTCTTTTACATTGAATGATTTTGACAAAAAGATATATACACAAATAGTTTATATAGCCCTTTGTTTACTAATTCTAATTTAATTAGAAGAATTATTGAACCAAAATTCATTTTTGGCTGAATTCTTTGTTTTGTTTACTCTAGTTTCTTCTACCTCTTGTTGCTGCATATATTACAATCTATTTCCAGTTTCTGGTTGCGCCGTAAAGATTAGGACTGCTTCGACCGGATTTAAAAATTTAGAAGATTAATTCTTAATGTATGATTTAATTATAATAAATCAGTATTGCTTGGTGTAAATACCGAATGCAAGTTAGTTTTTATTCATCCGAACAGAACAAGATATTAATTTGGTCAGGGAACAAGATATTACCTCATTATTTAAAAAATAACAAAGCTAGGAATAAATTCACACTTTGGCATCTGCCACGTGTTAGTTCAGCGGCTGGTGACAGCAACGCAGTTAAGGCAGCTCCATTATTTGCATAGTCAATACATTTGAGGTGCTTATACATACATATACACATGTTGATACATATATGTTGATATAAGTTATTTATGACAAACTGTTAATATAATGTAATATTTTTTATTTTGAACCAAACTTTTACGATACTCATACAATTAAGAGTATACTTACATCTTATCATCATAACTAGGAGCGTATCTAGAGGGGGTTCTCGGAGGTCACGTGAACCGATACTTTACTCTCTAGATCATGTATAGTAATGTTTTAATTTTTTAAAATATATTTATATATATATATGTGTGTGAGTATCATATGATGCAATGATTATATCTATCTCGTTAGATTTTTCCTTTTTTAACTAGAATTTGGTGCAACCACAAAAGATGACAAGTCTAATGTTACTTTTTGCATATTAATTAAATACTTTTCTTTTTCTTTCTTTCTTGTTTAGTGTATTCTTCCCAAAATTTATGTGCGTGAAAATAGCTAAAGGTTAAACCCGTAAAATTACTGGATTCAATTCTTTATAATCAAAATCCTAGATCTGCTTTAGATCATAGCTACTATCAAAGGTTAAATCTTGTGTGTGGTTGCTGATTTAACAACTGCACCACATTCTCAACCAAGTTGGAATTGAATATATAATACTTCACTAATTATCTCAAACTTAGATTACACAAAAGAAAAATAAAAGAAAAAGTAGTAATAGATGTTATTTATATTTTTTAACAAAAATATATAAATTTAAAGATGAGGCATGGAAACTAGGGACTAGGTAGTACTAGGACCACTATTTCTAAGTGCAAGGGAATGGCCTTAACAGATCATTACTAAGGAAAGTGCAGCCCCTCTGCCCTGTATTCTTGCACTTCTCTTTTTTTCTTTTTTCTTTTTTCTTCTAAAATACTTTTTAATTTGTAAGTGAAACAAGCAGTAGTGTTTTGTTTCATTTTTGGATTCTTCTATATGGCCTAATTCCTATTTAAAGACTTAATAACTTCTCTGATAGTTTTAGTTAATTCTAATTCAAAGAATAAAAGTTAGACTGTTTTCATATAGTTTGCAATTTTTTACAGATTTGATTAAAAATATATAAAGCAATATTCCTCCATCCCAATTTTTGTGATATTTTTTCCTATATAGTCCGTCTAAAAAAAAATGACACATTTTATATTTAGTAACATTTCAACTTAAATTTTTTTTTTTTATCCTTAATGAGAGGATTCTCAACGACACAAATTTTTGTAATTTATTTTAGATCACAAATTTTAAAAGATTTTTTTACATCTTAAATTTCATTCCCCGTCAAATATCTTCACATAAATTGGAACGGAGGAGTGATACGTTACTAAATTAAAATTAATCGGGTCAATCCTCGTAAGTTGATCAATAACCGAGAGTTTATCGAAAATAAGATCTTTATTTCACACAAGATAGGAGTAAGATCTGCATACACTATATCCTTCTCAAACCTTATCTATAAAATTATATCGGATATGTTGTTGTTATTGAATCCTCGTAAGTTGATCAATAACCGAGAGTTTATCGAAAATAACATCTTTATTTCACACAAGATAAGAGTAAGGTCTGCATACACTATATCCTTCTCAAACCTTATCTATAAAATTATATCGGGTATGTTGTTGTTATTGAATCCTCGTAAGTTGAATTNCCCTCCTATCCTTTGTCTCTTGATAGCAGTAGTTGGATGGAGTAGTTAACTAGCTGGTACCGATAATCAGTCTTAGGAGTACTTGGTCCACTCTTTTTCAAGTGCAGAGGGATGGCCTTCAAATTCAACAAATCAAAAGTTGTGGTTATTATTTATTTGGGAAAGTGCAGCCCCTCTGCCCTGCATTCTTGCACTTTTTTGTTTTCTAGAATACTTGCCTTTTCGTATCTTAATTCTTGAATTGGAGTAAATTCTTTTCTTTTTTTTAAATGGAAGTGTTCGAAGTTCAAACCAGCTTAACCAACCTCGTCAGTCTCGCACAAACATAAGTACTGATTAACTCTACTCATTAAGACTTACGCAAATAAAATAACCTAAATTTTTTGTTTGTGTTAAAATTTAAACCTTAATCTTCAAGATTTTGTATTTCAGTTCATTGACTACTGGGCAATAGCCTTGAATAAATTGAAGTATATTCTAGTGAAACAAGTAAAAGGTTGTATTATCTATCTTTGGCTTCTTTTTTAAGTTGTATGTGAGGGTGTTTGGCTAAACTTATAAGCTGGTAAAACTGACTTATAAGCACATTTTGATTTTTCTACGTATTTGGTAAACATCCAAAGTGCTTATAAGTCAAGTGTTTATAAGTTAAAATCAGTCATAAGTCATAAGTTGGTCACCCCCAACTTATGACTTTTCAGCTTATAAGCATTTTTAGTTTGACCAAGACTTTTACTAGTTTATCCTTAATAATATTTTTAATTTACAAAATATTTTTCCCAAAATAATTTTTTAAATTTTCTCTTCACTCCATATTCGTTGTTTATCATTTTCTCTACAAAGAAACTTTTTAATTCATATTTTTTTGTAAAAACTTTAAGGGTATTTTAGTCTTTTTAACAAGAGAACAACTTATCAGCACTTTTCTACCAAACATGTCAATTACTTATTATCAAATGTTTATTTTAAAAATTAGTTTCAGCACTTAAAAATAATTTTAAGCACTTCAAATTTATCAGCTATTTATAATCAGCTAATCCAAACGGACTCTAATTCCTTCTATAGAGTTAATAGGTTCTTTTTTATTTACTTTTAAAAGATAAAAAATAACGGAGTACAAAATTAATCAGGCCAATCCTCGAAGCTGAATTACGCAATGCCATCTTAGAGGAGCTAGCAGTAGATTAAACTCCCTTCATTTTTAACTGAATGTCCCATTTTAATTTTTAAACCGCTCTAAAGATAATCTCTTTCCAAGAACATAAACTATCTAAAATAATTTCCCTCAGATGACAGAGTAACTTATTGTGGATAGAACCACAAATTTGTACATGTTAATTTTGTGTATCTATCACTTGCAAAGCACACTAAGGACTTCATTTAGTTATGTTAGCCCCTTGTATCTGAATAAAGGAAGTATCAAATCACTCATTCTTATACATTACCAACAAACAAAAGAAATAACACATAAATCATCTCACAAGCCAAAAGATATTCAGCTTTATCATCTTATATGACTCGGATTGTGATTGTCACATGGCAAATTCATGCCTATCTTCTCAAACATCAAGTTTCCATGATTTCATCTAAGCTTAAATTCTACCAAATCACATGGCAAATTCAAGCGTAACTGGTAAAGTTGTTGCCATATAACCGTGGAAACAACCTCTTGCAGAAGTGCAAGATAAGGCTGCGTATAATAGACCCTTATGGTCCGGCCTTTTCCCAGACCCCGCATAGCAAAAGCTTAATGCACCGGGCTGCCCTTTTTTTGTTACCATCCCTAAGGGGCAAGATATGCATTGCCTTCATAAACCACGAAAAGGGACAATAGTAGCAATTGTTCTAGGCAACATCCAAATGCAGAGATCGTCTAGACATATTAACCCATCGCAACCCAGAAAACATGAAATTGATGACAAATGATTTCTCATCCAGGCTTATCAGTATTTACTAGTCATCATAGTAGATATAAGTAAGTGGAACTAACATTAGACTACATCAATACGAACAGGAAATTTCTATAACGCATATCCAACTAAGCTTGAGGATGTGAACAGGAGCATAAGTCTTAAAAGTTAAAAGAGTTTAGATTGCACCGGAAAGATCATTAGTGACAAAAAGGCACAAATTAAGTGAAACCGTACGAAGCCAGCAATCTCAAGAGAAGAACACGACAACATCATCTAGCCAACTGTGACAAGGTGAAGATGAGAGAGAGGAGCAACCACAATTCAGTTACAGAAGATGACTCCAGAGTCCAGTATAACACAAAAGATCAAGTGGTTCTCACACAATCGCTCAAATTTTGTGCAGCAAAAGGAGTGATCACCGCAACTTCCGCTAGGAATCTGTCAACCAAAGAAGCAGGTATATCAAAGTCTTATCAAACAAACAGAAAACTATCAGTAATCATCGAGTCAATAGAAAACAAACTAGGTGATGAAAAAGCTTCTAAGATTATTCTGCACATCAGAGTGCAAATATCAATTGCATAAAAAATATAAGGGCATACAAGAACTTGGTTCGACTGGTTTGCAACTCTCTGCATGGCAATCTGCACAGACCAAACACCTGTCCTCGATACTAAGCAGGGTGTTACACTTACCAGAAAAATCAATGTCAAAGATACGTTTCTAAACAGTCGAGCTAAGTGAACGCATCCCTTTCCCTAAATGTTAAAATATGGATACAATAGTGACTCTAAGTTGTATGTACATGTTAAAGCAGGTGAAATAAGTTTCTTTTTGCTATAATGAAGGGAGGCACAAATGCTTCTTATCACTTGCGTTTCAAAGTTCATTTTTTATGTTTCCGCAGTCATAACTGTTTTTAGGAAAAGTTCACTGAA